TGGGTCTCCTGCTGGCAAACTGTGTCCCCAAGGATTTTTCCCAGACTTTCCAATGTTACTGTTTTTAGTCTTAGGTGTACCATTCCATAAGTGTCTTCACAGAGAAGTTGGACCAACCAGACTCCTCTTTCTCTTTCTTAACTTCACAGGTGCCCACTGTATAACTGGTTGCTGTCCCCTCCCCCCATTGGAAGGATTTTTCAGATCCAGGTTCCACGACAGAGGATCTGCATTAACCTAACCTGCTACCTCCTCCTCTCTGGATGAGGCTGATATCCTTTCTCTGCTGCTAGAGATGGATGATTTGGGAGGTTTCTCAGATCTTATGAGTCAGGGCTGTCTTAGCCTTAAATATTCCATTGGAGGACATGGCTGAATTTTGCAAAGGCTGGTAGATATAGCTGTCTCTTCCCATCCAAGGCATTCATTCTATGAATGAGTTCATTATTGATCCAGCCATGTGTTGGGAAACACGCATCATGTCAGCTTGTGCTGCTTGGAAGGTGGACAAGTCGTGCCTGATACTTTTATTCCCATCCCATGTCCTGCTCTCTTAATGTTGTTGTGGCTAATGAAGAAGCAAAACAGCTCCACAACATTCTAAAAGATAAGGAGGTTAGACTTGCTGGGGAGAAAGTTGCATTCATTGGCTAACCTATAATTCAAGCTAGCCACCTACCGAGTCCTGTTAAGACCATCCAAATTTCCTTTTCTGCGAGTGTCTTGTGACATTCACCAGCAATCTGTTATTGTACTTCAGGAATACATTTAAGATCAGTTGCAGGTTGCTACCTCATATACCAAGGCCTCAGCTGTGGTCATAACACAATTTTTTCTGGATTCCCAAGGAAGATTCAGAATATGGTGGAGAACCTCACCTTCAAATGAGTGGAGCTGTTCAGCTCCTGTTACCTTCATGTGCTCAGTGACTCAACATGGCCATTTTTTTCTTAACTGGAGTCTACCTGCCCCTGAAAGAAAGTGTCACACACAGAGAAAAGATCATTTCAGCAGATTTCTGCTTTTCCTTCTCTATTTATACATGGTCTGCAAGAAACTCTAAGGAAGTTTCTCACAGCAAGTCAGTCGATTCTAACCAAATCAGCTCACTGCCCACCCAAAATTCCCTTTCCCTGTCCCTTTCTCACAGGGTGTTACTAGAAGAAGAAATCTCCTGACTGCCTTTTTGGGGCAGTGGAAGAAATTCCTCCAGCTCAAGGAAGAGGTTTCTACAGTGATTATTCCCTGGTTTAAAAAGCTGAAAGAGAAATAGCAATCCATTTTAGACTTGAGAAATCTCAGCACTTTATCTGCAAACTCAAGTTTAAAATGGAGACATTAGCAATTATTGCACCATTATATATTATTTACATGTTGCTATCAAACCTTCCCTTTTTAGTAAGGGGCAGGACACTCCAACCACATTTATACACCCTGCATCTCGCACCCTGGATCCTGTATGGCACTTGACAAGAGAACGGGTCTGTTCACCCCCTGTTAGAGACTTTCTCATCTTCAGCAGGAAGGTGTAAGCCAAGTTGGATAGATTTTTGCCCCGGTGTCATGTCTCTCCTTATGAAGCTTTCATTCTTGCTGTACTGGGCTATATACTCATGTCAGGCTGTGATGACTTATCCCTTGACTCATTTAAAGAATACTGTCATCTCAACCCACTGCTGAAGAATGTCAGTCTTGTTCCAACCAGCAGTCCTGACGTTCTTCAGGGGGCCTGTTAAGTGGTCATTGCTTCAAGAAGAAGTGTTGCTGAGAACCAAGCTTTGATGCAAAATTCCCCCATGCCCCTTTTTGTATTCCATACTGGTCTACTTGTGGACTTGCCAAAGGTTTCTAAGTTTATCACTGAATTCCATCTCAGTTCACAGATCGACATGCTGTTGTTTTCCAAGACTCATTCCTCAAGAACTGAGGTATTGTTTTACAAAGAACTGAGACCTGCTCTACTGTCACAGAGCTAAGCTATTCAGAAAACCTCCTTGGCCAAAAGTTCCAAAGATGTAGTGATTTCAGTGGAGACTATCCAGTTTAGATGTTGCACCGTGTTAGTGTTCTAGGAGGCCAGTAAAGTGAACATACTGTCATTGGCCAGATCTCATTCCACCAAAACCAAGGTTAGTTCAGTGACTTCTCCTGTCTTTGCATCTGACATCTGCAAAGCCACCTGGGCTTTTTTGCACACCTTTACTCAAGCCTTGTACTATCATGGAAACTTGCAGGGGTGTTACTGAATTTAATGAACTGGTCCTGCAGTCAGTGTTTGGCTAGGATTCTGAAAGCTACGTCCAGGGCTAGAGACAGAAATTACACACAAACTGGTATAAGTGATCAGAAACCAGTTCAGATCTGTAACTCAGCAGGGCTAGGGACCGGCATTACACATAAATCAGTTTAAGTGATCAGAAACTGCTTTAAACCTGTAACAGAACAGATGTTCAGTGCATATAACCAGTTTGAAAATGGCTGAAATCAGTTTGAGACAAACCTGGTTGAGTGTAGTATCACACTTAACTGATTTCAGTCAAACTGGTTTATGCAATGTCTGTCCCAGACCCCTTCCTGGTTTAAATTAAATCAGATTCCCCCAGCATCCTGGCATGCTCTTTAGGCTGGGCGGGGCTCTCTGCTCCACAGCAGAGCTGGCCCCTCCCCTCCCCTCCTGCTTTCTGGCTGGAGCTTACAGAAACTGCAGGCTTCCCCCTGCTCCCCTCCTCCCCTCCCCACTCCCTGCTAAGCAAAGATCCCTGTCCTGTCTGCCTTACACAGACACCTCAGCATTAGCTAGCAGACCACATGCTGGCTGTGGTCTGTGCTGTGGCAGATGGGACAAAGGTAGAATCAACAGGTAGCTAGTCCTTCTGTGTTCTTAATGGGGTGATAAACACTGAGTTATCAATTCCTTGCTGGGCTGGTCAGAAGTGGGGGGAACACCTCCCTAATCAGAGCATCGTGCCAGTGCCTGGCCATGCCCCCCCCCTCAGCTCAGCATTGTAGAAGGGAAGGGAGGGCTGCTCTAGCAGCCCCTGGCTTCTAGCCTAAGCCACTGCAAGTATGTGCCTGTATTTCTGGAATGTCTCGGCAGTTACAAACTGATTCAGCCTAGCCAAGTCAGACTAACCTGCAAAGATTGAATCAATTCAGGCTCAGGCTTTTTGAATGTCTGTCCCTAGCCCAGAAGTCCAGTGCGCACAAACCATTTTCAAAATGGCCAAAATGGTTTAAGATAAACTTGGGTGAATGTAGTATCAGTTTAACTGATTTAGGTAAAATCAGTTTTTATTGAACTTCTGTCCTAAATCCCCTTCAGAATTCACAGTCCCCCAACAACCCAGGATGCTTTGCACCTCCCTTGCAACCTCCTCCCAGCAGGGTGGGTGGGCTAGTCTTGACCCAAGCTGTCTGCTCCAGCTGAGCAGGAAGGTGTGCTCTAGTGCTTACCCCTCTCCCATTCCCTCCCCCCCTCCTTTTGAGCGAGGCCACTGCAGGCATGTGGCTGCATTTCAGGAATCAAGTGAATGTGTGTTCACTTGCTTATCAGTTCAATCTACTCAGTGTAGACTAACCTGTAAAGATTGAATTGATTCAGCCTTAGGCTTTCTGACTGTCTATAGTTAGCCTAGGAGAAATAGGCAATGCTTTGGAGTCACTGATAGTGAGAATGAGCATATGGACAAACACCTGAAGGAGGAAGAGAACTTACAGCAGCTGGTATTCTTGAAAATGTGTTGTCCCCATGCACATATTCCACTTCCTGCCCTACTTCCCATCTTTCTCAGGGTTTTGAAACTCTGAGATTGTGCTCCAAATGAAACTAAGAAGTAGGAAGTGTGTTTTGCCCTTTATGCCTGTACAGTACGCAGGGTCCATGCATACTGTATCAGTGCTGCAAAAAGTGTCCACTCTGTGTGCTTGAGACATGTACACACATAGTGGGAGTGTACCCGTGGACAATACATGTTGAAGAATCTCAAAGAATTCCAGTTACTGGTAAGAAACTACTTTCCCTCCCTCTCTATGGTTCTCCATACTACTTTGCCCCAATCTCACACCCTTCCCAGTAAGTGTTCAATTGAGTAGTCAGTCAATTAATTTATTTTCCTTTAAAAATGCTACATATGAATTATTTGCTGTACTGGAGTTGCATTTCTCCAAAATAAAATAATTTTGGCAATGTGCCAACAGAATTTTTTTTTATAAATAAAGATTTCAGCCAAGGCTAGGATTTCTTCTGACATTGATTTAAGTATAGGCTAGGTCCACTTGCCAGAACAAGGCCCAGCTCATGTGGCTAAACTCACTTGAGTACTTGGATACTTGGTTCAGCTATGTGCATTGTCATCCGTTTGGCACATACTTATGCAGACAGCTAAATTATTTTTTAATGCTAATAGCTTCTCTAAAGGGGTGAGTGGGGGCTGGGGGATCATAGTATAAAATGATGAGAGACTGTGATCCTTTGGAGCAGAATCATAGCCTGGGATTAGATGCTCAAGTCTAAACAAAAAGTAAATAAAAATCTGCATCTGCAGATAAATAAAAAAACTGCATCTTTTATGTGGTATGGCATCTTGGAATACTATTCCCTGGCCATGGTGAAATATTTTAAATCAAGAGGAGCACAAATAGCTGTATGTGCTCAGGCTTCTCTGTGAGATGGTAGCTCAGACAGATAGGGAGGGAGGGAGCCAAACTTTCTTCTGAAATGGAAGTCATTGATGCTTGTCAATACATTGTATATTATTATTTTCAATTTCTATTCATATATTCCAGCACTGCATAATGAGTTCATTTTATAAATCCCCAAGTAAATATCATTATTTAAACCAGTTTACCTCTTAACCCAAACTTAAGCTGGCTTTCTTGCCACTAATAGAAAAGTGTACGTTTTGGTTGTGCTTGCTGTTATGTCAGTAAATATAGTTTGTTTTACAAGTGAACTATTTTAAACTGATTAACATCTTAGATGGCTTTTATCTCAAATATAGGTAGAAGCTCCATTCATACCAAAGTGCAGAGGCCCAGGAGATACCAGCAACTTTGATGACTATGAAGAAGAAGATATTCGTGTGTCTCTAACAGAGAAATGTGCAAAAGAATTTGCAGATTTTTAGTACATGTAAGAGGACAAGATGACATCAGGGCTCACATTGGGATCTTTGCACTCTGTTAACTGATGAGTTGGAGCTGAGACCGTCATATGTCAAAACAGTTACCTAGTTACTTCATTCCACAAAGCTGACTGAGGTCTTTATTGCCATCTTCCATGTGTGCAGTTTGCACCAACCCTTATAACTAGGCACAATTAAATAAGCACTGCTTGTGCTGTAACACACAATACTAGACCACTTTCCTACTTACCTTTTGTTTCTGTTGTTCCTTTGTTTCTGTGTATTGTTCATTTCCCCCCTTTTAAAACAAAGTAGTTTTTTACCCACGAATGCTCCATTTTATTTTGAATAATGTATTATTTGTGCGAGTGAAATGGAAGGTGTTGCAGCTAGTGTGATTTAGACTGAAGTGAAAGATAAGTGTTGCTTCTAGTCTGTGCCAGCAAATATTTCATGTCTGTCTTGTGTCTGAGGCTACAGTTTATAATAACTTTCTTAGTAGCTCAGACTAAATCTAGCCAGCATTTTTAGCATTTTTGAAGGTAGTATTTATCGCCATATAAGTGTATGCTAAATTAACTTAAAAACCCTTCTTCCTGGAGACTGACCAAATTTAGGTGGAATCAGTTGGACAGCTTAAGTAGGGGACAGTAGCTAGACCCTGTGCCTTGGTTTTCTACATACTTGTAGTTCTCTTCACTGGCTCCTTCCTTTGTGTTCCCCACCTGGGCAGTAAATAAATATGCCATAACCAGACTGTGCCATGGGAACCACACAGTCTCTTGAACAGGAGCAGTTCTACTTGGTCTGGGCTTTGGACCATATTCAATCAAGTGAATTGCCAGCATTTCAGTTGGTAGGTGTTAAATGGATTGTAGCACCATAAATCCTAAATTCTTAAAGGAAGTTTTGGTCAGTATTGTAACAGCATATGACTAATCTTTTAAAAATGCCAATGTTGGGGTTCCTAAAGTATTACTTGTTTCAAACCTTTTTAATTTTAAAAAAGGCATCAATTTAAAAAAAAATGTAAAAAATTGCTCTGCTATTAGCTATAAGAAACATGGGTTAACAAATGCATTTAATGTAATGGATGTATTGCTAGATGAACAAGATTATCTTTTGGTTAGCTGTTTAAGAATAAAGGTTATTGCCAAGTTTTTATTCTGGTATACTATATTAGTAAACCGAGGATGGAGTACTGCTGTGATTATTTTGCTTTTACAGTGCTTCGTTCATGTGAAAAAGAGACAAAGTTAAAAACTGCCAGTTTTTAGTTATGTTGTGTCTTCATTTCTAGTCTACTTTCTTTCAATGAAATGGAATGTACGGTCACACAGATAAGTATTTGGCTTAATTATGTTTGTATACTCTCACCAACTGACTTAAAAGATATTGCTACCCTGTGTTAGCTTTCAGCACTTTTACACATTTATTTCAGTGTTTGTTAATAATCAGTGACTCAGCACTTTTTTTTTGCTTTTAAATTTATCCATACCAGTTTTATTTGTACACTTGATTCTGGCTATCCCAGTGACCTGTCTTAAAACAGCACATTTAAACGGTTTAAAATAAACTAGGATCATATTTTATGATCAATTTGTGTGCATATACAAGGATGAATTGTTTTTATTAAAGGTGAGCTATATTGATGCATAGCCATTGTATTTCTTTAAATGTCAGATAAACCACTGACACTATTTCCTTTTAATCTGTATGACACTTCTTTTAAAAAAAGAAGAAGCCTTTTTAGACATTTTACAAGCTAGTTTGAAATGTACCATCCAACATTCTGTATGTTTAGGTTGTCAAGCATCTTTGCACAACGTCATTAGGAGGCTGTCACTGATCACAGTCTTTGTCCACCCATATTTACATACGTGCAAGAAAGTATAAGAGACTTTGCTGTAGCAAATTTTATGTAACAAAAAGATATATCATCACGTTAATAAATTTAAAAAATTCTTTGTATGAAAACATTAAAATCTTTTGTATTTCATTTAGACTGAGGACATGCTGTTGTATGCTAGCTGTACGCGATAAATTCTACAGTAACTTTGTTGTCATTTATGAACTTTAAAAGATTTTAATAAATGCTGGAGATCACAATTTAATTCTGTTATGATTTTAATTTTCAGTCATTACATTTATAATTATAAAAAAGCTTCCAAGATTTTCTGTTCTGTAAAAAATAAATAAATAAATAAATAATTAAAATTAAAAAAAGTGATAATTCACTTTGAGTGTATAGTGAGACAGAAAAATCTAGGAGACCAATTCAAACATGTCTTTTTGATGTTGGAAATAAACTCCATCTGAGCATAAGTTGAAAAGGCCTCCTATTTCCATGGGTTTTTTTAAATTTTATCAAAAGCCTGTTAGGTATGAAAAGTAAAATAAATTTCTAACATGGCATAATAGACTTCAGTAAGAAAATGAGATTTTACTTTGGAAAGGGAGGAGGAGGAGGTTACAGTTTCTGTGGCATTAGTAAGTACATTTGACAATGTGAATATTATAAAACCCTCTCATTTAAATACAATCATAAAAAATATAGCCACAAGACTATCATGTTATTTGTATTTAATTTCAAAAATCTTTTTCACAGTATGAAAAATTGTATATCTATGACAGTAGAGGCTTGTTAATTTTACACAATTGAGGAATTAAGTGTTGAACTATATGATATATTTTAACTGTACTCTAGTTGTATGTAACTTTCATTTCAAACATAAAGGATTGTATCTCATTAAGTAAATTGCTTTTCTATTCTCTTGTCAGTTGCATTAAAACCCTTATTTTTAAATCCTTTAAGTATTTTACCAGTCTTTTGCAAATAATTAGATGTTTTTAAGTGCTGCAATAGTGTTCAATATAGTAAAAAATTTATATACAGAAGTGCAAATTAAATTATGTACAACACTGCATGAAATATTGTGCTGCTTCTTCTTGAACCAGAACATTGAATAAATCACTGTATATCGCCATACACCTAGTAAATTTAACTTTAACAAGCCTATTAAAAAGGAAAGCTCTGAAATACAATAGTGCTCATATTAAGTTAGAGCCCTTAAATTGTGCAATAAGTTGTTTGGCTTGGACAGCAAGGGTATTAAAGGCATAGTTAAAAGACAAAGAATTGGACCTTTTAAACAAAAATAATAATCTGGCCATTAAATGCAAATAACTTTTCTTCTTTATCGCCTCACATGGATACTTTATCTCTCTGTTAAAAATAACTGTCCATCTTGAAATATTCTTTGCACCCCAACTGTACAAACTGTGATTTTGCTTCTCTGACCATGAAACAATTCACAGGAGTAAAAGCTGTCAGGCCAGCAGATATCTACCTGCAGGGCTTACTGCAAGTGATCTTCAAGAAAGGCACTGTTGCCTCTTTCTCAATACTTCTTTTTTGTGGTTGTGAAACTTAAGGAGTTCTATGTGCTGCAAGCCTATTTACTAGGCTTTCTATTACTTTACTTGTATAATACAGTATTAGAGTTTAGGGATTCTGGGTTTGGCCTTCGGGATTTTTTTTTTTACTTTTACTTTTTTGTAGTGTTAGAATATGTTTGTTTGTTTGTTTTTCTTTTACTGCAAGCACTGAAGATGTCATTCAATTTGGTGTATATAATTTCTGTTCTTTTTAAGGAGAGTTTTTTGTTATCCTGATAAAAGTTGGAAGGAAACCTTCCCTAAGAAACTGCTTTAAAAAAAGAGCAATCGAGCAAACAAAGCCCATTATCTTTTACAGATGGGATCTGGAAAGCTAGTCTAGATCTCTTCATTGGCAAAGTGCTTATTACTGCATTGTCCAATACCAAATAAAAGACAGCACAAAGAAGTCTTGCGTTATGCCAGATATTTCAAAGTTTAACGAGGTACCAGTTGAAGAGTAGTTTGAGACCTTTGGCCTTGGGATTTTCCACTTCATTAATAAAATGCACAAAAAGTGTGTTATGGTTTAGCTAGGCAGTGCCCATTTCCAGTTAGATGGGTCAACATTTCCAAGTTTCTGGCAGTAATGTGTGTTCAACTCCACAGCAGAGGTTTATATAGGAGTTCCCTTACATGGATGACTTTCAGTTAGATTAAGGTGCGATCTAGGCTCTCGTAATAACTTCCATTCTCTAATATCTTGAGGTTAAATGAATAAAGGTCTACATTAAATCTAACAGCTACTGTACTAACACTTATAACTTATCTTCCTGGACTCCAAAAGGCTTGCTTTGCTTCACAGAAATTTGTCTGTCTCCAATAGGAATCCTCTTTGCATCATTATGAGTCACCATTCCATTCAGATTCTGCTTAACGGTGCAAGACCTAATGGATATTTACATTTTCATGAAATCACTTGCATACTTTCACAAGCATCTGTTCTGAAGGTCTTGCAATTACATTTGAAACAATACCTTGGTCTATATGTAGTCCTCTCTTCTCAGGAGGTGAAAAATAATTTGTTACTTGGACCAGTGCAAAATTGGATTTAAAAAAAATCACATTTACTCAATCCCTTTCCTTCTGGAGTATAAGGGTAGCATGCCTGTTGTGCTTCTCTGAGTCAGTTTGTGGCAAGCAGAAAGATATACCAAGGGACTTGCGTAAGCTCATCTCATAGTGCTTTCAGTCATAAAGTTAGCTATTTAAACATTTCTCTTGATAGAGGAAAAATGGCTCAGATATTCACAGGCAAAACAGAAATCACTCACGACTTGCCAGATATGATCTCTTTTCTATCAAGAAGCAGCCTTAAGGAGTCGTGGTGCATCTAGCACAGCAGTTCCTCTGGCCTTCATTCTGTATACAGTGGAAATGACGACTGTTTTGCCAACAACACAAATTGTATAGATGGAGACCAAGTAAAATGGTGTTCGAGGGATATGTGATCATTCTGTTTTTCAAGAAGTTGTGACATGGGGACTAAGGTCAATTTAGAGAGAGAGAAATTGCTGAATGAATGAGACCTAATATCAGCTGAATGCCCCTGTCTGTAATCTGCCACCTTTTAATGGTTATCCAATCAATTCCAAAATTTCAGGGAACCAACAAGGAAAACTTACTAATTTTGGTGACAAGTGGGACACTGAGAGAGGCTGTATCCATTTGTAACTAGGTATTGTGGTATGAAAGGTAACTCGAGTTGTCATTAGTCTCTTTCCTCTTCCAGTTCATTTGTGTACTTCAGTCCAATTAGTTGAATCAGGAAACTGAGGTCATCACCTTCAGGTAAGGACAGAGGTTCTTTGAGGTTTAAGACCTAAAATGGCAGGGCCTGCCGCAGAGAAGCAACTATATTGGTTGAGTTAGAAGTTAAGCTGGAGACCACTGGGTCCTGCCACACTATGTATTATTTGAGTGAAGTCATTTTACCTTTCCCCATTCACATTGTTCTACTTGCACTGAAAAGTGTTCATGTCATGCTCCAGGCAGAGAGCTATTAAGGAAGCGTTGAATTAGACAGCAAGGTTAGGGTTTAGGGTTACCAAAGGAACATTGCTGGTGTGAAAATGGTAACTCAAGAAAAAGATGAGGAGTGACTTTGACACAGTGGAATTTAGGTTCAGTTGCAACAGGTTTGAGATTAGAGACTATTCCTGCCCCTTTTTCTGCCTGCCACATTAGCCAGCATACACAAGTGTGTGACCCTCTAGCAGGTGGTTTGCAACTCTCATTCTTGGATCTCTTAAGCCTATATCTGAGAGACATTTCAGACCCTGTGATTTTTATTTATTTTTTCTCATGAAGGGGAAGTGACTGTTAAGTCCTAATTTAGAGATATTCCACCTTTTCGGCTGTTCATTTGTTTTACTGAGGACTTTTAGATAGTGATCCTTGTTGGCTTTCTAATAAAGGTGGAATTTCTGTATTACTAAAACCTGAGCATGTACCTTGAATGGCAATGAAATACAGGTGTAACATTTACAGACAATAGCATAATGGTAAGCAGAGCACATGTATTTCTGTATTTAGAAGAATTTTTAACTAACATGAAAATGAAAGTTCTAGTACTTAATTTAACATTCTGCTGTTGACAATTAATTTCTGTCTGGACTCTTAATTAAAGGGATATTGTTGAATGCTTGTTCATGCTTTTCACTGTTCTTTAGATCATTCTTGAACCTAAAAATAACACTTCTTTCTCTGCTGTATTTCCAGTGTTTTACATTTGATAAACATTAACCTACTAAAATACTTTTTTTTTTTAAAGCTGAATTTAATGTGCAAGAATGTTGGTGAATGGAGGGCTTTTTCCTAATTTTCTTTTACAATGCGTCAGTTTTGGTTTACAAACTGTAAGTGGCAAGTGTTATCTTCTGTTTGAAGTATGATTCTTATTGTGTACTGACATTGCATCATTTCTATGCATGCCTAGTTTTTCAAATAGCTATTAGTTTACCATAAAGAATGATAGAAAGAAAAGTGCTTTTAATTGCCTTCTGCTTCATAGTTTCCATTTGGACCAGTGCAGTGACTGAAACAGGGGAGCAGGCATCAGGACTTCCATGTTCTCTGCCACTGACCATCGGCAAGTTACTTTACTTCTTTGTGCTTCACTTCACCCTTCTGTCTACCTCACAGAGCATTAAGGTTTAGTCAGTGCTTTTAAGTGCATACACTGAAAGGAACCAGAGAGGAGAAGGGGGTTGATGGTGAGTATTCCTCCCAGTTGTAAGGTTTAGTCTCATACAAGAATTTTCTATGGAGGCTGCTGTTACCTAAAACCAAGATTTTTTTTTTTTCAGCTTAACAGAAGTAAAAATTTCTTGTAATATGCTCTACAACTAAACTTATTCGGAAAGAAAAGGATTCAGCTATAAAGTGCAAAGGGCTCTCTTTCACTACACACATCTAATCATAAAGCTAGCCTGTAATTGCATTTTTTCCTTGTGTGTGTAGGTTTCTTCTAGTCTACAAAACAGCCTTTAGTTCTTTCTAATTTCCCTCTGGTGAGAGAATTTTCTGAAACTCTATCTAATGTGATTTTGCATTGCTGTTACAGTTGTTGGCTTTTAGTTTATCACTAATAAAGATCATTTTCCATGTGCTAATCAGCATGGTGTTATCTCCTAGGTTGACTTAGTCCTATTTTAAGTATTGTCAGCCTCTCAACACTGCTTTAAAAATGTTTAGGTTTCTTTTCACCCCAACTAACGTGTTTGCAAAACTTGTAAGCTGTTGTTTGATATTTGGCC